AGGAGTAGTAGTAGTAGCAGTAGTAGGACGACGACGGTGTACTTATCCCGAATTCGACTTCGATGATGCCTACTAGTGCTGCTACTGTCGGCACACTTCTGTTCAGTACCATCATACTTGCAAGGAGGAGGCCCTGAGCGCAGGTGTAGCATGAGTTTCCCGCCTCGTGCAGGCTCTGGCATTCCAGCAGCTTGGCCTTCCTCGGAGCTACGGTATGGGGCGGCTGTGCACTACTGTACCGTCAAAACAACCATCGCGGCCCGGCCCTACAAGGCCTATCCAGGTCATGAATGCGCCCACACCACTTAGGAGGCCAAGACCCGGCTCCCGTACAAATCCCACACCGGATCTCTGAAAGATAACAGGCCTCTCATCGTCTCGTACTTGGCTGGTCTCGGAGCTTCCGCTAAGGATCCTGATGCCCCATGCTACCGGCACCGACAGCTCTGCACATGCCATGTGCACACAGTGATTCACTGCTACGAAGGGATTGCGTCTGCTCCCATGTGCTTCTCAAAGCTGCCGAGATATCTCGGAGTAGGCAGGCAAGCGGCTTTTCAAGGGATGGGGCATACTGTACTATATACTATACTGTACCATCCGATGCTATGCTGTGTGATATTGTTCTTTTGTTGTACTATACTTTACTACACTATACTGTACTGAGCCATACTTTACTATACTATCCTACCTGTACGAGACTATACTATATCATATCACACTGTCTTTGTCTGGAGGGAAAAACTGACCCAGCTGGACTACGAAATGAACTCGCAGTTGTTGTTGCCGCCGCCGGGCTCAAGAACAGACGATGAATATCTCCGAAAGAGCCAAGTCTTCTCCTGCTGATGGTTACCGCGTACCATTCTATAGGGGTACTATGAAGGTTCTATAAGGGTACTTTGCAGGGAACCTCATGGCCAAAACTTCGACCACCCAACAGCGAGGAACCTATCATTGCTCCCAGAATTTACCCTTGCGTGAGCCCCCCGCTAACATTGTACTCACAGGGTCGAGTCCTCTTGCCTTTCCCTTGATGTTAGCAGCTCCTGTCGATGCAAAGCCTTAAAGACCACACAACCTGTAGACCCTCAGACCCCCCAAAACTACCCCTAAACCCACCCAACATCCCCAACACCCCAAAAAACCAGCCAAACCCTAAACCCTAAACCCGAAATCCCTAAGCCCTACACCGCCCGAACTTCTAAGTCGAGTCCTTCCAGGTTCGCTGCGGAGGCCCTGGGAGGTGCCCCGAAGCCTCAAAGATCTCGGTTTTTTTCTGGGCTACTTGTTTAAGTTAAGGTTTAGGGTTTAGGGTTTAGGGTTTAGGGTTTAGGGTACTTTAAGGGTAACTTTGAAAATTTAAGGAAGTTTAGGGTCCAGTTTAGGGATGAGGGCTTTGTGGTTGAAGGGTTGTGGGGTTTCCGGTGAGCTTTTTGGGGTGGGTATTGGGGCCCGTTGAATTCTGTAGGCTCTGGTGGCTGATTGCTTGAAATGCTGAGACAGTTCAAGTCGAAGACTTGAAATCTAGCAGATGCGGTTTGGTTTGCTTCGGGCTGAAGGCTTTCAAGTCTCGAGGTTCAAACGAATTGGTTCTCAACAGCTCAGATCTTTGCACACATCTGCAACTAGGCTCGCTTTCATGAGTCTTACATCTTTCCACTCCCCAGCTACTCCAACATCTCGATAGGCACTCGGGCGATGAAGTCCCTGAAAGTTTCTTGCCGCGACAAGGCCCGCACCCGCTGATCTCGAGGAAGTGCTCAGCGCACAGCTCATCAATCGTTCGCTCAAGCCGCTGGTTGGCCTGACGCCCGCATGTTGCACAGGGTTCTTGGTCTAAAATGACGTTTTGGCAAGAAGCTGACCGACTAGCCAATCGAGTGCAGCTGCATCCTCAAGACCTCACTCGCTCCGGAAAGCTCGGTGGATCCCCCTCATGCGGGCCAGTTGCAGCCGCAAGCTCCGCTTCCTTGGTAACATGCATATCGCGTGCTTCTAAACTCGAGCAAGTGGATCACAGGAGTCCTTGTAGAGAGCACCAACTGAGCTAGAAGATACTTGAAACCATGGAAACGGGGTCGCACAGCTCGCATGCTGCAGAGATTCACTGTGCACTTTATGCCCATCACCTAATCTGGGCTTTCGGAGCTGCAGCAGCTATCGTAGCAAGCATTGAGTTGTACGTATCGGAACAGCATAGGCGTTTGGGCCAGCACTTCTGGTCGTGGAACCTCTTGAGATCTCAGAGTTCAACATGAAACACTTTTGAAAAGACTTCGAAGATCACCCTGTCCTCGCCACAATGCACTGACTCATGGCTCGCTCTGCTGCCAAGCATCCCGGGCTGATGTCGAGCGTCCTATGGACGACAGTTCAATCGCACGCTCGCAGCACAGAAGAACCCAACGCACGTGCTAGCTGCTAGCAGCTTGTAGCAATGCCGTTATCTAATCTGGCCGTCATCTGTATCGCAGCTGCTGCAGTACAATAGCTGCAGCTGGCAACTATTGGATTTGCCAACTGTCGCGGAAACTTTCAAGCTTCATCTACACGGAGTAGCCCGACGATGGCACTGGAGCTACGAAGAATGCAAGCGCAAAGCTGCTGTACAAAACCGAGGAAATGTAAACGTCCGTCCCATGGACTAGCCCCATACACCGTATAGATCACCTATTACACAGAGTATACCATACTGAAGTGGTCATAGAGTCATAGACCTCCGTTGCGGAAGCATTCTGCGACCACGACCTAGTGATCACTTCTTGCAGTGCGTCCGTCTGAGGGACCCCTACGAGTCGTCAACCCTAACCAGTAATCCGTCGAGCCTGCATGCCGCAGCGCCCCAAACTTAAGCACGTGCACGATATTTCACTGGAGCCGCTAGGCTACGACAATCTCAATCAAGTAGAGGCAATGTAGTACTCGACTGCCATATTCTGCCATGTATGCTACAAGCTGCTGCACTATGGCAGATCCAAGAAAGGGTATAAATCATAAGTAAGTGCTATATATACCATGTGAGATCCAAGAAAACTAAGTAAGACGTAGGATCATCCATGGTTTCATGACCTCGAACTAGGGGTCCCTTCATCTCTAGACGCCCAACCAGCTCTGAACCAAACTAAGCCCCCAAAGCTGAGTTCAAAACCCGAAAACCTACCGTACAGGTACCCCTTTATAGTTCCCGTATGGTACCTTTGTCTACTGTACTCTTATACTCAAAGCGTGAAGCCTAACTACTAAACCGCCCTCAAAGCCCTGGCCTAAGCTCGGCAGCCTCCAGGCAAGGCTTCCGGAGCCGGTCTCGCGGGTGTCGAGCTCGGGACTTTGGGACGCTCCGGCACCTAGCAGCTAACAGAAATGGCATAAGAAAGTCATGTAGCAAAGATAGACAGATGGATGGATAGACGGATGGATGGATAGGTGGAGAGATGGACAGATAGGTTGATGGATAGACAGGCAGACAGATGGATGGACAGATAGATGGACACAGAGAGGGAGAGATAGAGAGAGAGAGAGAGAGAGAGATAGAGAGGGAAGGAAGGAGAGAGACCGAGCATGGCAAATACTAGCATGGTATACTATAACACACCACTCTCTCTCTCTCTCTCTCTCTCTCTCTCTCTCTCTCCTTCCACTGGGCATAAGGGACGGGTCAGGTCTCTCTCTCTCTCTCTCTATTTATATATATATATGCATATGTATGTATATATATATATATGTATATATACTGCACAGTAAACAGACATATAGATAAGTACATAGCTAGAGATAGATAGACAGATAGATAGATAGATAGACAGATAGTGAATACAAGTGAGCATGACATCTCGGTTAGGGCACAGGACTAAGAAATACTTGGAAGGCGATCCGGTTGGCATCTGAACTCGGATTCATGGCGAGAGGTCTTCAAGCTGGACACAGCTGGTTGGTTTCGACCTCCGAATTTCTGAACTCATGTCGAGTCGATCGACACAGCGAACTCATCTGCCCTCCGCACTTCCGAACCTTCGGCAATAGAAGCCCGCAGCTCAAGCCAGACGCACAGAACAGAATAACTCGCACCTCGTCCTGGCACAGCGCCACGACACAGCTGGAGGACGCCTTGTACTTGCTAGGGAAGCACTCATCGAGCCGAGCGCGAGTCCGCTTCAAGAACTTCAGCCCCTGGCTTTGCTCTTACAAGCCGAAACAAACGCCGAAAGCCGCTGGGCTGCGCACCGCCGCAAACCTTACGCCATCATGAGCGAGCCAAGCCTCCGATGCAAAAGGATGGATCTAAGTAGGATGTAGGGCTGCATCTCGGAACTGTGCAGTTGGCAGCGCATGAAGGATCCGGGCTTTGAGTTGAAAGTTTTCTGAAGTATAACATCCCTAGATTTGTGCCACCGATCACGACGATGCGGAGATTTGCGGAGAATGTATGAGGCTGATTCTGACGACAGTGATTGTCCTTAGCGCTGTCTTGAGATGGTCGGTTCATTCTCGCTGGTATCATCGCATAACACTATTTGGACTCGCATCTTTGACTGGTCTCTACAACAGCTCCGTTACGAGAACAGTATCTTCGCACTTGCTCTGGTTTTCCTCGGTATTGAATTCGAACTCGAGCCCGCCTCCTCGAAGAGTTGATGGCTGGAGGCTCCAGGTGCTGCGTTTGCGAGATTCACCTTGGGTTCTGCTCTTCCGCCATCACTCCCAGATTCGGATAGCTCCTGCAATGAAACTTATGTTGGGCATCATCATCTTTTCAGCAAGTTTTTTTGGCAAGAAGCTGCACCCCGCACGGAAGCTGCTGGGATTGATCGGAAAGCAAAAAACAAGACAAACCACCGAGCAGGAGCATGAATTTTCTAGAACTTGGCTACGGTCTGGGCTGACGGTTCGAAGAATCGCTCTGGTGGCCGCCTCTAGACTCATCGGCGATATACAAGACTGTGATCTACTTGTCCAAGCGCTCCTTCCTACATCTTGCCTTCGAAGTCACAGTGCTGCGTCTGAAATGGAGGTTTGTTGTGCATTTGTGCTCAATCCGACTGAACAAACGCCACTCCGGGCGCCCGGCCATCAGCAGCTCGCCAGACACGGTGCAGCAGCAAAGCACCTGCGAGCTTGAGGCCGCCCTGCCCGCGGAAGGACGCGGAAACCGAAGATTGGGCTCCAAACCCTAAACTTTTGCGTTCACGGCCGTGAATTGGGGCTGGGGTTGGTGTGGCGTCACCATCAGGTTGCGAAGCTAGGCCAGGTATTCCGGTATTCCCTCGCAATGCCACCGACTATGGCCAGCGTGGACCATGTCAAACATTCAGACAAACCATCTGTAAGTCAGGCTGTCAAAACAATGAGTGAATGATAATTCTGTCGCTGCTCCAGGATCTCCGTCATCATCCAGCTTCTCCTCCTCTGCGTCCTCCTGAATCTGCAGCTATCGAACCTTCGTTGTTCCCACCGTCATTGCCCGTCCCCTGGATCCGGAACCCTTAGCCCTGAAACCCCAAAGCCCAATCCCAGAATGATTCATGCCTGGCTCGACAACGCCAGACTCCTTGCCGAGCGGTGGCCCAGGAAAACCTGTTTCTGTCAACATAATGTGGGAACAACATCATGGTGCTCCCCATTTCTGCTGACTGCTCGCAGGTCAGATTAACATCCCTATTCGTCTGGAAATGTGCTGTGCACATGCCAGGTTTGTGAGTTCGACTGCTTGAGCTGTCTGCGCATCTGATGGGAAGCTTCCAACAAGCGTCTCAGAAGCTTCTGGCTTTTCTATCTTTGCCTGCCCTTTTGGATTGAATGAACTCGGGCCTTGGAGTGACAAGACATACGATCTCTCTTGTTTTGCATCAACGACGGCTCCTATTCCAACTTTCCAGATCGGCTAAAGCCACTGCATTTCCCTCAAAGCCTACACAGCCCACAGACCTCCGACTGTTCCAAGTGTGAACTCCGTTGACGTGTCTTCAGCACTGAGGCAGGCAACGTGCTGTGGTTGGTGAATGCCAGCGAACCTTGCCAGGCAGTTACGAGGCTGGGGAGGGCACGCGAAACAGCAAAGCCTCTACCTTAAAGCCATCAACCCTGCTCGGAGACGAGTCACGGCTTTCCGCTGGCCGAATGAAACTGCAGCGTGTGCTACATCCACATGCAGTGATATATGGTTCTCCATTTCTTCAAAAGTAGTCTCGATTTTGTTTTATTGCCCTCCCAACTCCCAACTGCCAGGACCCACAACATCCACATTTTGCATTTCAATCCTCCAGCGTACGGCGTACAAGCTGCACCCTGTTTGGGCCCCTGGCCCCCATGCCCACAAGCTGCCATTCTTCGCAAGCACTGCAGAAGCCTGACCACAGTTTCAAAACGGGGGGTTGGGTGCTGCTCCTCCCGTGCGTGATCTCTCTGCAAGAACATGATGCATTGCTATACTCGTGACAGTTTTTAAAGCATCGGAGCTTCTTGTGCATACATTGGGCAGATCCAGTTGCACCTCTGCCGCAGCCACAGCTGTCGCTCCCGGTATGTCACCTCAGTCGGCTTCATGACTAAGGCAGACCTATCACGCACCGAGGAAAGCCTACCCAAGACGAATCCAAAACCTCCTCACCCACAACACCCGATCCTGCCAACCCGGGCATGCACCGAAAAGCCTCCGTCCCAAATTGCGAAGAGTCCTCCCTGGACCCTAAGACCCACAAAAACTGCAACTCGAAAACCACCGGACCCTACACCCCTAAAAACCCCTAAATCCGGATTCATACAAGCTGCCAACAAGGCCAGGGACGTCTCGGCCAGTCTGGGTGCCGTCTCCCAGCCTTGCCCGAAAAAACTTGGGGCTTTGGCATGGTTTTGAGTCTCGGGCCCCAGCTATTAGTATTGTTATTGCGATTACGATGATTATGGTTCTTGTTCTCAATATTATTGTCATTATTGCTATTATGATGACCATTACTACCATTACCATTACTATTGCCATTGCTGAGGGTCCCTCCACCTCACGGAAGCCCTGAGCGGCTACCAGGAGAAGCGTGGCGGGTGTGCTGGCCCGTCCGGTTGTCACCCCAAGTGAAGACATTGCCTGGCAGGAGCAAGGAGCTGCACTCACGACTTTGCGCCAAGTCCGTGCTTCGGTATCATGTGCTCTGTCGGTCTTCCATCTTCTTGGCCCAAAAGCCTGGATCAAGAGTCAGCAAAGAAGTAATCGATGATCCGACAGATGGTCCAAATGAGGCTGGCATGCCGAATGTGGTCACCGTGCAGCTGTGAGCACCTGGAGGAGCGGTGCTACTTCTTCGGCTTTGTCCAGATCGCAGACGCACACGTTTGGGGTCTTTTCAGCACATCGACTCGGAGCATCCGGGACATGCAAGAACGTGAGACTTGGGGACGGGATTATGTGCGCCGGCAAGACTGTTGTCATGGCTGTGGATGCTCCCCATGGTCGTCGTCGTCGCTGTCGCATCTGCAGGCGTCCCGTCGTCATCATCTTGTTACAGTAGGGAGCATCATCAGCAGCAAAACCAAGGACGACATCATTGCTCTTGGCATTAGATGGAAGACTTGCTGCAAGATGCTTCTTTTGTGAGCAAACACCCGAACCTCCCGAATACCCGAAGCATAACACTGTACCCCTGAATGCCAGCGCCCGGCTTCCGGCAGCAATGTCCGAGGCTTGCAGGTGGGCCAGAGCCTGCAGCCGGCTTCAGAGAAGAATCGATTCAGGGTTTGGGGCGTGAAGCCTGAATAAAGTTAAGGATCTCGGGGATTTGCGAGGTCGAACATCTAAGAATCTAGGCCCAGGACATGATCAGCAACATTCCGAACACTGCGCGCCCGAAACAGTAGGTGCAGCACTCTGGGGCCGCGCACCCAAAAAACACTCCTGTATTGTAGACTTTTCTGCCAGTTCCAATATCGCGCGGAAGCAGCATGGCAGAACTCAATCCAGCGGTGGCGGTGGCACAGCCGCGCCGCCGGCGCGTTGCGGGGACCGGCTCCTTTCTGGCACCTTGGCGGAATCGCCAACCTGAAAGCTGGTGGAGGGCTGCAGGGGGTGAGGGAGCAGAAGTCTTCCTGGCAACCTTTCGCGGTGAAAGGCTTTTCGATGCTCTGCTTAGTTTCAACAAGTTTAGAGTCAGAGAGTGCGGGAGCTTCGTGGTGTCAGCAAAGAACTGTCAAGTTCATGTCGAGGATACAGGAAAGATCAGGACAAAAGACAGCGGGGGTGTAGGCTATGGCGCAGCAAAGAGGCGACTCGATAGAACTGGGCCAACCTATCCAGCAGTCGACCTGAAGCGGGCGATGTCAGGGGCAGCGTCTGCGGCGTGTAGAACGGATCCAGTGGTCGATATGGCACGAAAGCAGCATGAAGATCTTTACCGCGACGCGACACCTGCTTCAGCATGGAGGACATGACCCCCACAGGCACGGACTCCGGCGTCTCAGAGTTCTGGCCACTAAGAGCCAAGGAACCAGATGCAAGGGCTAGCTGCATACCTGGTGGACCCTGCCCTTGCTGAACTGGCCGGACAGCTTCTGCTAAGGCAGGTGACGTTGCTGGCAGCGGCCCTGGTGGTTTCGGGATGTGCCCAGGAATCGCCGCCATGTGCTGTTGCAGCGTCGGTGGCATCTGAGGAACTGCCTGCGCATGCTGCATCTGCTGGGCCTGCTGAGGAAAGTTTTGAAAACCCGGCTGTGGCTGCATGACCCCCTGCTGGTTGGGTAGCTGCATCTGTTGCGGAACCTGTTGCAGCGCACCGAGAATGCTGCCGACCAGGCCACTGCTCTGTGCCGGCGAGAAGGACACACCCATCTGCGCTCCCACCTGCTGCATCAGCCTACCAGTTTGAGGTGGTGGTGCTGGTAAGTCCGAAGCTGTCATTAGTGCCGTGATCTCTTCGGTCTCTCGAACGCTGAGGATGCCTTTGTCCAACCACATAGCCAGGAGCTTCTTAATCTTGGCACAGCCTTCGCTGTCAGGCATCGAAGACCGAGCGATCTGAAAGGTGGGCCGCACCATCCACACCAGGCAGGGCTTGAAGGCAGAAATCAGCGGCCGAGCTCCGTCTTGGCGGGCCAGTTCGCTGACGAAGATCTCATGCACCAAATACAGCCTCGGGTCCACTCCCAAACAGCAACCCTGCCCCAGGCTGTTGTTGTGTCCGAATCATGCCAACCCTGAAACGAAAAGCTTGGAAAGACGCTCCCACTGAAGAGCCCGGTTGCACGTGAAGTCGATGGAGAGAGCTTGAAAGGAAGGCAACGCGCTTCATCATGTTGCTAGCAATGGCCGGGGCCATGGCAACATTGGCCTGCCAGCCCCAACTCAACAAAAACCCGAGAGCACGGTGAAGTAGCCTGAACCCTTCCAGGATGACACAGGTGACCTGTATCTTTGGGAGACTAGCACCCTTGCGCCACAGTTTTCTGTGGGTGTGGATGCACAGAGACTGAAGCAAGTCGGATTTCGGCCAGTTCGCTTGTTGCATTGGCTCCCCAAGGCCGCGTGGAAATTTCGGAGCGGACAATTCGCATGAATGTCGGGGACTAGCTTCTTCGGATTTCGCTGGCAGGACTTCCTTCCGAGCCGGAAGCCAGCCTGGGTCGTTGAAGAGTTAGCTTTGGAGCACGCATCGGTTTTCAGGGCACCAGGCGCCAAAACTCGGTTTCGGTACAGTAGCTGCGCTTGGCCTCCGAGTAAAGCATGGAGAGAGCCCTCCCCTCCCAACAAAAACCACAGGCCTGCACCCAGGTCCGCCCGTGAGAAATGGCCTCTCCTCGGTGTCAAGCACGTCTTGAAAAGGGCTTAGATTCTAGATCCGAAGGGGATGGATCTCTATCCCAAGTGCGCGGCCTCAAACTTGCAAGAGAGCCATAAACAAAAGACATCTTGAGAAGCGTAGGATCGAGAGGAGACCCGCTCCAGCGAGTTGAGGATCTCGGTCAGCTGTCTTTCCGCATCTGGGCTCAGGGGAGTCACCTCGGGGGTCGGCCATCGGCCCATCAGCGCCGCGACTTCCGAGGGACTGGAGATGCTTGGCTCCAGCACTGCGGCTGCCTGAGGAGCTCCGGTGGCGGCTCCTTGAGGTCGCCCCGGGTGGGACTGCAGCAGGGCTTGGTAATACTCGGAGCCCTCCCCACCCACCAAGAACTGGAACTGTGGATTCTGGGCGTTCTTGCTCCGCACGGTGTTCTCGAACTCCGGCCCGTTCTTGGACACGTGCTCCGCCATGATCTCCACTCGCTGCTTCAGGTCTGGGGCCAAGCCCACGGCAAAGGCAGCACATGCTGCAGGACCCGGTACGGACATGGTGGGATCCAGGTCTTCTCATAACATCACGTGCGGCTTGCAGGGTTGCTTCTCCGTGAACAGTTCCTGCTGCCTTCGCACTGAAACTTAAAACTATCCTTGCATTGAGGGCTGTATGTTCAACGCTTTCGGACGAGCCGATCGTAAGCCGCTGGCATTATGAGAAGGAACATAGCTACAAACTCTTGCTCGATTCGGCTTCATGGCGACATAAGCTGAGGGCTCAAGGCCCTTGAGAAGCAGCACAAGGGCTGTGTCTGTCATTCTGGTCTTTGGCCTGCATGCCGGGCCCTCTATGCCACCATGCTGACTACGCCTGTGCTGTCTGCGCAGCCTATGGGTTGCAGGCCAGTCTGAAGATAAGTGAAGTCATGCTCTGGCCAGAGCTTTCAAGGCCTTCTTTATAGGTGCCAGGCGCCAGGAATGTCAGGTACAATCGGAACCCAGCCTCCAAGCAGGTGGGTGTCGATGCGCTCTGCACCTCGTACTGGAGAAAAGTTTTGCCAGTTCACATCATTACATCAGCATCATCAGAAAGCCTCGCACCAAACAGCTGGTGGTGGAACCCGCTGATAACTTTGTGACTTACCCCTCCCGGCACGATTAGACAGCCGTATACAGCCTAGACTCTATAGCATAGAATGATGACGTCACCGGCCGAAGAACCGCGCATCAAAACAACAGTAGAACAGCTCGGAGTCGCACGTTGCCCAAACCAAGCCTCGGCAGGGAGCAGTGCCGGATTTGGGTGTTTCCGAGCTCCAAGAACGACTCTGGGTCTGAGTCCATCTCTCGAGCCTCTGTCTCCGAGGAGCTGTGCTTGCCATGTCAGAACAAGGCAATTGGTTTTGATGCTTCTTGCGGTGTGTGGTAGCCTTTGTGAACACTATTACCACCATGATAGTTCTTGTTCTTCGCTTTGCTGCTGCTATCGTTGCTAGTGTTATCGCTGTGGTTGTTCTGTTGATGAGAAGCAAGCTCAGCCGTCGGCTGCCCACGTGGTCCCTCGCCGAAAGAGAAGACGAGGCCTCTGTTACGCGGTGCTCACTGAAAGCAATGAGACGATTAAGCTTTGAAGGGCTTGGGGATGGAAGTTTGGGGCTTGAGATGTGGAGTTTAGGGAGTCATGGCATTGCATACATAGGTGACACTGATGCTTCGTCCGAAAAGACGGTTAAACTCCTGATCGCTCGGCCTTGAAGACTGAGGAGCAGGGAATGCTCCCTCCCGCAAGCGGCGCGAGTGATCTGAGCAGAGCACGGACTGTGGGGTTCAAAGGAGCGGTTTTAAATGGAGCTGCGTCTCCCTGACCAGCAATGCACTTTCAATTTCGGAGCTTGCGGAATTGAGAAGTAAATATGAACGAGTATCATGCCCAGCTGCATGCTAAAAATCCGTTCTGCTTTGAAGTAACCATGCCCGAGGTGGTAGCAAGGAGTGTCACGCTCGCACATCAGCTGAATGTTGAAATGCCCCGAATCTAACAGCAGGACCGACTGCTTGAAGGGCCCGACGAGACACGACGAACCTCAAGCAATCCGTACGGCCTGAACCGGCAGCGGCAATTGCTCGAGTCGGCCAAAGGCTGCCAGCATCTCAGTTGCTAAAGAAAGGGTGGCTGTCGGACTGTAGGGTGCAAGATGGAGCACACAAGCTCTGCACAGTGCTGTCTTCAGGCTGGTGTTTCCGGTGGCTGGAGTCGGGAATCTGAAGCACCCTATGTGCTGCTTTCGCATCTTCCTCGCGGTGGCTAGTGACTGTTCGTGCCCAGCTCTGTGCAGTCATGCCAACTCCTCTGTTCGACTAGCTTGGGCCTGTTACTTCGCCCACCTGTGTACCTCCGTACACCAAATTTCCATGAGTCTCGTATTTTCCAGTGCTCCTTGCAGCAGCAATGATCTCAGGGCCTGGCAGAAGCGGCCATAAGAGCAGCGGCTTTCTCATTGCCCTGGGCGGCTTTCTCCTGCCGTACTGGCTGGTTTCCTAGTCTCAGGACCACAGCCTCTAAGTGCACTCCGTGGTTCCAGAGCTGAAGCTCCGAGCATGCTTCAGAGAACCGGGTGGGGGATCCAAAATTTTTTCGAAAACATCAAAAAAGTTTAGGCTGAACGGATCAAATAAAAATTTAGGAAGGATCAAAAAAACTAGGGTTTGGGGATCTGCTGCAAACAATAGCACGGTAAGCGCTATTCCAATATTTCCACGTCGAAACTGTGCGAAACTATGGTGTCAATCCCAGAAAAGTCTGGGACCGCGGACCGCGTAGAGGGTTCGAACGGTTGGTGTAACCAGAGTTGCTGGCCATGGCTGCGTGCGCTAAACAGCCTTAGTTGCCAGGATGAGATTCCAATAGTTCAGCGTCGGAATTTTACGAAGTTATCTATGGTGTCAAAGCTACAAAAGCGTGGTACAGCGTGGAGGGCTTCGACGTTAACAGTTGCTGGCCATGGCTGCGTGTACAGGTGATTCGGAACTCGCCAGTAGTTAGGGGGCAACAGTGGATCGTGACTTGGCTTACTGTTTCGGCTAAGGTGGTTTGGCTCAATGCTGGTAGATGCGTTTTAAATTGTATATACACGCGGTTACCACATATATGTGTATAGCTCTATATATATACATATGTGTGTGTATGTATACTGCTACTACTAATAACAATACTTAAAGTAATCATAATGATTTTCATAGGAAAAAGTAGGAACAATAAAGATGATAATATTAATCACATGATTGTAATAACACTAACATACTATGAGACAATATGAACAAACCCACAATTTTATAATCAGATCATAATACTAGAACTGACAGAAAGAATAGACACAGTGGTCTAAAGCTGTGCTACTCCGCTACTGTTACTTCTCATCACCATTATCATCACAATCAACCACTGCGCTCTTGATTACCTTTCTGGCCGACACCATCACCCACCTTCTCATCATCAATATCATCATCACCAACATGATCATGAGCTTGATGATGATGGTCGCCATCGTCACTATCGTCACCATCATCCTGCCCAAAAGCGGCCAGCGAGCCCAGAAGCCAAGAAGCCAAGAACCAGAGAAGCCAAGAAGCCAGGAAGCCGACAAGGCCTGGAAGTGCTACGCACGTTACCAGGAAGCCCAGAAGCCAAGAAGTCGCGGAGCCACAAGAAGCCAGGAAGCCGACAAACCCCAGTCATAGTACGCATGGTATCACGAAGCCCAGAAGCCAAGAAGTCCAGAAGCCAAGCAGCTGAGAAGCCAAGAAACCACGAACCGAGAAGCCAAGAAGCCAGGAAGCCGACAAGGCCCGGAAGTGCTACACACGTTACCCAGAAGCCTAGAAGCCAAGAAGCCGCGGAGCCACAAGAAGCCAGGAAGCCCAGAAGCGCAGAGGCCAAGAAGGGAGGCTGAGAAGCCCAGAAGCCGGAGGCCACAAAGCCAGCAACTCAACAAAGTACCTCGTAAATGCTAAGGTTTTTTGATCCTTTTTAATTTTTTTTGACCCCCCTCCCCTTCAGAGTGCACGTGGCTCCCTCTGACATAGGCTACTTTAATGTTCCGGCTAGAGAGCGATGCACGAAACTTACTCAAGGCTGATGGCCGCAACCGTCATCTGTTTGAGATCTTCCAAGTCGATTCATGCGGTTGTCATGCATCCTCAGCCAGCTTTCAAACGACAGGGGGAGTCAGCTGGTGCTGTCTATAGCGAGATCTGGTGTTAACATCCTACGGAGGGTTTGGCGACACCATGTCGAGGCAAAAGATTATCAAGGCATGTGATTGTAGAACGACAAGCTGTCCATTCCTCTTTGGCAACGAAGCTATTCTAAACCCCCTTAAGCTTTAAACCCCCTCGAATGAGAGCGGACAAAGGGGCTCTAGCAATGTACGCTTCGAACAAAGCTCCATCATGCCTAGGAGCAGTCCTGGACGCCAGCAGGACCTGGGAACACTGGGAAATAGCTGTGATCTGGGGGTTTTCTGAGTTTAGGTTCAATTGTGTTTATGTTGAACTCCTGCTAATTCCCTGACATACCTTCCACCCAGACTCAACCCCCTTGCTGCAACCTCCAAATGTCTGTGCCAGTCTGTGTTTCCATGAAGTGGTCTTCATTAGGAATCCTTCGACTCGAACAGGATTGAGATATGCGGGGACACAACAATTGGACCTCCCTCTGCGAAGGGCGTTCTGATCTCGGGTATCGGGTCCCGGTTTTTCAATCAAGAATCTGACGAACTACACTACCGGCTGGAACGCTTTCAAGATATCGGGAGCATAATTAGTGGGGGAAGTTGTACCATGCACTTTTCCGATGGAACTCGGACTCAAGAAGCAAAGGCAGCATACTGTAGGCCGGTGAGATCCTCGGCGTCCCACTGTTCAGCTTGTAGATGGAGCCTGCGGAGGTGACCTGCAAAGGCCAAACGGTGCAACTCAAGGGCCGTTTGCCGGCAATGGCACTCCGAACAGGTCCAACTTTCAGAACCCTCTTTGAAACGCAGGGCGTTGAGAACCTCAACAGATGCCGATTCACAAGTCGCATGCTCTATTCATCGGCTGGCAAAGTTCTGTGCAGTCTCTCTGGCCATGTAGCCAATCGCATGCACAAAGCTGAAAGGCTCTTCTGTTGAACAAATCGCATGAAATTGCAGACAACCCGGTGGAGCGCACGTTGAGTTTGCAACCCGGTATGTTTATCATCGAAAGTCTGAAATTCTACCCGACCCAATAGTCCGAGTCGAGGTGCGACCAGGACCATACCGCTTGGACCTCAGGCGGACCCGGACAGCTTCGAACAGGATTCTATTTGCATATTGGCTTGCAGTAGAATGTTATGCTGCGGTTTCAAAGCGACTGCGATGCTGACGACGCAGCAGCAATGAAAAACAAATGTGTGTGGCGTGTCCAGCAAGCAAGCAAGCCTGAAGGCCGTCCTGGTAGTCAGTGCGAGCCGCGGTGGATAAGCATGTGTAGTGCCACAAAAAGGCGCAATGAAACGAGAAATTCATGAACAAGATCCCCCGAACTTCGCGATCAAGCAATGACTCCGGCTAGCGGGATTAAATCTGTGGTCCGCGCTGCAGGCGGCACTGGCCACATCTTTGCTCCTGAGGGCCTGTCGGCTTAGCGGCAGTGGAAGGGTTGCTCACCCAACATTTCGGACATGGGAGAGTTTGGGGTTCTTGATGTTGCTCTTGCTGTACCGATGCTGTTGGCCCTTGGGCACTGCGATTGATGTGACGGTGTGTCTCAGTCGATGATCTTAGCAACTCAGCCGTTTACGATTAGTTCGCACCCGCAGTGTGTGTGTGTGTGTGTGTTTGCCGTGAAACCAACGGCACTGACAGATGTGTGAAACGGCTTGTCCTCTAGGCTATTGGAAACACAGCCTGCATCCTTAACTGGGCAGAAACCCTGGCCACAAGAAGGTGAAGAGGTGAAAGGCCGTCCAGGAGCTTGCAGCCCGAAAGCACCAAACATCCCAAGCAGTTGCGGAAAGAAAGCCTCCACCAGGCGTGGGGCATCGTCTCCGGCAGCATCCAGCAAATACAGCCTCGCCAAAGAAGCTCGCTTGAGAAAAGTGGAGGCAAACATACTGTTGAAACGTACTGCCTGTGCTATTGCATAAAGCAGAAATGGGGATTGCTATAAAGTCGGTGTCGTAGTTTAGTAGTTGGTAGTAAACTCGCACCAGAGCCAGGAGACCTCAAAGGGAACCCACATGCAGAACTCGGGACACGTAGTTGTTTTGTCACGAGCTGCGGGGCAACCTTCGGCTTCTATGAAAGCCCGAGCCCGCAACCTGAAACTCCAAGCACAGAGGCCTGAACTGATCCCAAGTCTTCACTTCCAACCCCATGGGTAAAGATGAGCTAAGCGTGGCGCTGGCCCTCTGTGGTGGCAAAGGTCACGAGACTTCCGCTGCAAGAGACCGACCTTGCAGGAAGCTGTGAGCTCGTGGTTGACACTTGAGATGTTCCCTCTGCGAAAGCGCTCGCCTGCAATTCGAGGTCTACCACGTGCTGAGCCTATATCAATCTGCAGTGTAAGCAAGATGACAGATGACTGAGAGTCCTTCCTGCATTCAGGACATGGCAGATGGCGATGATAATGATGAATGATGAATGATGATGATTCTCCCTCGTTCTCCTCCTCCTCCTCCTCCTCCTCCTGCTGCTGCTGCTGTTTCAAGAACGACGACGATGTCGGACGACTTCTAGCACATTCTAGCACTGCAGTATCACACATCACCACAATGACACATGTCGTGCTGTCCATGAAGCTAGTTCATGCTCTTACCGTAGCTAACAGCAGGGTGCCGGGGTGCGGACTTCAGCGAAACGCTGGGCCGAGCAAGCGTTGGTGCGGGGAGCCTTGTGTAAGGTTTGTCTGGCTGAGGGGCTGCCAAGGGTTTGGCAGAACTCAATCGGTTGTTTAGAGTTTAGGGTCCCATGTCCTCGTGGCGGTTTCTGCTCAGTGTTTGAGATTTAGGAAGCAAGGTCCCAAACCCAGACCGCTGATCCCAAACTGCACATAGGGCACAGCCGCAAGCCCCTGGTCCACGAGCTCATCTGAGAAAAGCAAAACCTAAACTCCACCCCCTCAATCGTCCACTTCGCTCTCTCCCTCGCAAACTACAACTGTGTCATGACAGTTCCTGCATTCGACAGCTAGGCGTGCTGCTCGTCGGGAGAGTCCTTCAAGTCCGGGAGGGACCTGCATTTTATAGGGAACTTGTAGAGCTTTTATACGGTTGTAATGCAGAGCTTATAGGGGCTTCTCTGGGTGTTTCGGGGAACTCGATACGGGGTTTTATATGGTTTATAGCATCTGTGATGGGATCGCTGGTTGAAGTTTCATTTGGTTTCGGTGGCGGGGACCGAGCCGCCCTTCGACTTTGAATCTTGCTATAGGGGCCCAAACGTCAATAGGCTTTCTGGGTGTGTTGTAGTAGAGCTATGTTCAAGGAGCCCTGAGGAAGAATGTCGTTAATTATTCAGGCCCCTCCAGTTCTACGTCTATCTATCTGTATGTATATATATATATATGTAATGTATATATAAAATTATACACATATATGCTATGTATATATACATATAGTATCATATATATATATATATATACATACATACCAGTGTGTTTGCGCGTGTCTTTGTGCCTTTGCGTCTTTCTGCCTTGCCGGTCTTGGGTTTGCAGTTTGGGGATCCTGGGCCTTCCCTGGGCCGCTCCTACAGCGAAGCTCCAAGGGAGCTTCGACGCCCTGCTTACCCTGAAGGGCTCCTTTACGGGATCCGGTAGGGGTAGTGTAGGATTCCTTTGAGGGTAGCTTTAGGATAGGGTTCGAAGCCTCTAGACGAACCCTTATTGAGTGCGTTAGACCAAAAACGATGTCACCATTTTTCCTCAGGGCGAGGCCAAATCAGCACGGGACCTGCTCGAGCTTCCATGCTCCTGGCTTGCGTGCAGCTGCAGGGCCCTTGAGTTTTGCTGGGGCTTTCGCCCTGGGGTTGTGGGCCGGGTTGGGTGGTGTGGCTTCTGACCGCAGTTCGTGTTCACTGGGCTGAGGGACCAAGGGCTTCAGATTCCTTTCGGGCAGCTCTACAAAACCAGGCATCGGACTCCCGGGGTCGAGCCTTTGGAAGGGCCTTTGTTGGTGGGAGTTTCGAAGCATTCGGGGAGCTCTGTTCAGAATCCTTCGCCTCGCTAGCCGCCTTGGAGACGATAAACTCTCAAGCCGCGTTGCTCGGGTTGTGATTGGGCAAGCTTTGAGAAAAGGCGCCCTGAAGCTTTCCAGACATCTGAAACCTTCAATCTGTTGCAGTCCCCTTTTCCCGACTGGGTTGGCACCACCGCCAACTTACTCTACCTGAGGACGGTCCGGAGGTGTGCGCATGGTCAAGAGCACGCGCAAGTAGAGTCATTATGGGCTATGCCGTCTGGTCCCGGTCAATTCGTGAAACCTCTTCTTCAATGCAAGACCCTGAAATCGCCAGGCAACAAAACTACGAGTCTATACTTCGTAAAACCCAAGCGGCACAAAACTGACAGCTACGGCGGTGCAGAAAGACCAATGCAGCCAGGCAGATGGCTACCTAAACAACAAGCATGTTTAGGGTCTCGGCCATCCTGACTGAAGGCTACGACTACGATAAGATAAATCCACCGGCTGGTGCGGTGCGTTGAGATGGTACAGCCATCATCTCCCGGTGTGCGACACCAAAGAGAGCTCAATTCAAAACGCCACTATGCCTAGGACGAAGCTGTCGGTGATCATTTCTGCTGTCGGATCCCGAAGCCTGAACCCTGAGCAATAACGGGTGCACACGTTTGCGCCGAGAGCTGTTAGCGGTGACCACAGCTGTCTACGACGGGTCATCTCAGGGCAGCATCCACACAGGCGCGCCAAATCCTCGAACACTGTGGTTGTTGGCTTTCGGTGCTGACTGAGAGGAAGGTCCGCTTGCTGCAGTTCTAGCAGGCGGAGGTATCAGCTTGATCCCAACATTAATTCACACCAGCCTGAACATTAATTCACATCAGCCTGTCCCTGAAACCCAGTGGCCTCCAAGCCCAGCATCAACTTGTTGTCATTCTACTGCCTGCTGCGATAGTCGCCCTAAGCCCTGGCGCTGACATCAACTCTAAATCCTAACTCCCGAAACCCACCAAGCCCGAAACCCTCTGTGGTATAAACCCTTATGAAACACATCGAGAGTCTGAGCCCGCCTTGAAAGGCGAGGAAAAGCATTTATTATGTATACGTACAAACACGCGCGCACAGACCCACATGACAAGAAAGTATAAATCACTATATTAACAACCAGATAAATAGATGTGTATATATATGTACTAATAAACACAGGCAATATGTTTCGTATGCACCCTCATACCAAAACTCTAAACCCACGAATCCCGCTGATTCAAAGGCCCCAGTGGCGTGGGCGGCCCCTCAAGCCAGCCGAGGACGCAGGCGCCCTGCTCACCTTAGGGCTCAACGGATTTAGGGATGTTTAGGGGTTTAGGATTTAGGGTTACGTCGGGCCGAATCTAATAAGGAAAAGCCGCAGTAGCAGCAATACCGACACTATTACGAAACAACAACATGAAAGTCAAAGATGGCAGTGAACATTGCCATCATAAGCAGCAATACAATACTGCTACTAGTGATAAGAAGAGTGGTAGTTCTCGCAGCAACAAGTGAACAATTCATCATCAAGGGGTCAAGAGTCAAGGGTGTATTCTGCGTTCGGGAATCCGTGCCAAAATAGCTGTCGAACAGGTGGTAGTAAGAGGCTGTCAGGCTGTCTCTCTTCCGAGAAGATTAGATTTTTCCGGTGTTGAGGACTTTGGGGTTTTTGAGATGTGGACAGCAGTCGCAGCTGAAGCTGCAGCACGGCGCCCTCTTTAACTCTGGAGCGAAGGTTGCGGGTTTCCTGCTGCAAGATCACTGCCGGAAACTGCTGTGCTGCCATGCTAGGGCTGTCCAGCAAGAACCTGTCGCTACGGCGACAAACTCCTCCACTTGTTACGCTGGTTGGCTTTCCATTTACCTGGATAACAATCGCTTAACGTAGCTGACAAGTGATGAATGAAACAATGTAAAGTGCAAGCACCTCATTGCCATAATGCGGACATGCAGCAGTATTCCTTGGCTGAGCAAGCATTTGCATTGATTCTACGACAAGTCTCCAACACCAACGCTGACTGAACCCTGACTGTGTCGCCTTCTCCGTACCATAATGCCGTCTCCCGAGTCTGAAGGCCTCCTGTGCACTCTTCAACCCAAATGCTCAGCGCCATGTAAGTTTTTCAGCGACACAGTTTCGTCTCCGGTGGCTGTCAAGTACAGCTTCAGAGTTTTCCGTCCGGTAAACTGTGCTTCTGTGCAGCATCTGCTCTGCAGCAACTGCATGAGTTGCCGCGAGGGTTCGAAACAGCTGAAGTAAGCGGCACAGACTTCGCACCAGGGATGCCTATTTACATGCCGACCCGTCGCCAGTAAAAGTTCGATCGTGGAATTTCAAGGTTGGGATTCGTTAAGGCAAACCCGGTTGGCCCTGGGACGTGCGGAGTGGTTCAGCGTGGACATCTTAGGCCTAAACTTACCTTTGGTTAGTAGGGAATGAAGGAATGGGGTACAAGTATAACTACTATTACTACCATTCTTCCATTCCCTACTAACCAAAGGTAAGTAAAGGCCTAAGGAGGCCTAGGGTTCGACACAAGGGCTCCAGTTGCCAGCAAGCATCGCCGAAGATCACTCTCGCCTTACCCGGGCCGATGCGCTTGACCATGAAGTCCAGGCGCATGGAGGGTATCTGCGGTATCTTTTGGAGACGCAGTGGGCCGCTTTGCCCTGAACTTAGATGACCTTTTCAAGATGCTTCGAAACCGAGAATGACATCTTGAATCAAGGCAGCAGAGCAGACGATTTACCCGACGCAACCTAGGGGGCTTGCAGGTTCAACATTGCGACGCAGTCCAGGATCCCAAAGCTCTCACGGTGACGTCAGCTCAAACGCAACAGAATGTAGAGGCCCTAAGGATTTAAGCGATATTATGCCCCCGCCCCCTTCCGGCCGGCTGGTGCTCTGCGGAGAGCAGCCAGGCCAACAGAATCTGAGCGATGCTGGTGGCCTTCTCCTGAAGAAGGGAAAACTCGAGTCCAGGAGACTTTGTCGCCTCGTGTAAACAGCAATCGTGAACCCGATCCCTTTCTGTCCCCTTGATGCAAAAGCCGTCCAGCAGCCCTTCAAAAGCACAGCCGACTCTGCCCTGAGAGCTGCGTTGTTGTCATGTCTCAGCACGCCTTGGCCATTTCCCAGGCTTCTTTGTCCTCAGTGTCAGGCCGACTCACATCGCCAAGCACGACGCGAAGCTTCACGAATTCGGACTCTCAACTTGGCTCCAGGTGTCTGCAAACGACGCATCCGAAATGAAGAGCGGCATAGATGACAAATGGCTTGCTGATCTCAGCCAGACTCCTCAGCACCCCACGCCGTCCCACTTGTCTAACACCATAGCCTGACAGGCAAACCACACGCAGGCAGGATGCTGCCGACCGGAGTTTGGGATGGTACGTAATATGACGACTGATATTCGGTTTTGGCACAACGCAGACGCCGGAGATGCAGTGTTACGTGTCTCTGTTACACAAGCTCGCACTGACAAGTCAAGCGCAGCAGCTGGAGTTCAGCCCACGGCATTTATGTATGTTTTTGGTCGGGACGGCCATCGGAAGAAGCAGTCGCAGCAGCCGTCGCTGTGACGACGACAGCAGTAGTGCATTCAGACTGAGGTGTGCAGGTCCCTGGGGTCAAGGCGGAATGCGGTGAGCAAAGAACTGAGCCGCCGATGAAAAAAACCCTGAAGCTTGAAGCCTAGACTCAAGGCTCAAATCCCACGGCGCAAAAAAACACCTTCCTCCGGCTATGCCATGTCCTACCCGCCTCCGTGAGTTTCGAGAAGCTCGCTCTCGAGACACCCACCTCGGGATGTCACGCGTCCAGTCCAGAGCCACGTCGCTTGCGGTCGTGGGTCGGGGAATTGAAAGTTTCATGGGGGCGGGCACGACCCCATGCAGGAGACCAAAACATAACCACAGGTCTTTCATGGCCCAGAACGAGCTGCAGAATCCCAGCGGCAGTCTCGATACTGGATGGTCTTGTGGCTCAGCCACCGCACGATCATCTGGGTGGCAGACATTTTTGGAGTCATCCGACGGGCCCCAAGCATTGCCTCGCTCCGGGGAGTTGGCAGGGCCGCGTTCCGTCACCCAAACATAAAGCGGTTTCCTACTTCGCGAAAGCTGTGAGCTCTGCGGCCTTCGAAGTCTCGAGCTCAAGGAAAACTAGCTTTTGTTTAATGACTCTTTGTCAGGTACAAGGGTTGAGCTCGCAAGGCCTCTAAAGATTGTCAGCTGACATCAAATCAACAAGTACACAGATCAGATCATACGTGCAAAGATGGCAAGATTGATACCTGTGATGGTGCTAGACGTAGAGAACCACATTCCTGCCCAGTCTTTTAGAACTCAACAGTATCCTGCTCCAGTCTCTCCTTTTCAACAGTCTCGTCGTAACTTGGCTCAAGAAAGCCCACAAAGTCGCAGCCAGCCCTGGATCTCTTCGATCAGGCAACCAGAAGTGCGAAGCTGAGGCAGTGGCACTGTATCATGGTCGGCTGGATGGGATGCTGGCAAGGAAGCCCATGCATTTGGAGTTCATTGTAGGTGCTGCAAAGTTGGAAATGTTCTGATGGGGGGAACTTCATCTGAAAGAGCACTAATTTCAGAAGCGTCCGTGCCGGTTGGCTCAATCTGCTGGATGTTTGACATCTTGGCAGGTTTCCTTTCAGCTATTGGCGCTGTGGTGCAACTCACAGTTCAATTCTCAGGTAGTGCAATTTCACCGAAGATACCGGATCCCAGGTCACCAAGCCTGGCTATTGCATGCACAGCTGTAACAGATACTAGCACTGGCGCACACGACCAAGACGTTCAAGCAGCTAAAACGTGCCAAGCTACAAAATGCACTAGTTCGCCACTGTGCTGGCACTACCAGGATGCCACCCTCCTTCCCCCCCACCATGTGACCTCAGCCGGCCATGTCGGTGGTGGCAGGTAGTACTGCCGCATCTCGAAATCAAAATCTACCCACTCCTGTCAGGGATGGTCTCTGTGGGCTTTTCGTGGCAAACGTAAGGATACTGCAAGCAACATAATCACTCGAAAGCACTGGGCCGTGTGGAATGTGGCCCCTCGAAGCCTTGGAGCCTGCAAACGACCCTAAAACCGGAAGGCCCATGCGGGTTTATGGTCGGAATCACTGATCCTTTAATTTGAGCCTCTCGGTGCCCTTCCGACCTTCCCCCGTTTCTCAGACACGAAGCTAGCACCATGATGACAAAACCCCGGGAACTAAACTAACGCCCTAAATCCAACCTTTTCCCACGGAGTCGTTGCTAACACTCAAAACAAAGGCAACCACCTCTCAGACTTCGCTTCTAAGATGCGCAGCCAGCGTCATGACACTTTGTCAGTAAGTTGCACAAGTAAAAATGTGACATCCTGAACCTCAAAAAACCCCAAAACCCTACTGCACGCAAACCCTAAATCCTGAACCTGAACCTCCAAACCCTTAAAACCCTAAACTCCTAAAGCCACGATGCTTAAACCCTGAAGTCTGAGGCCCCGGAACCAAGAACATAGAAGGCCTGTCCTGTACCACACAGTAGGTGGCCAGGCAGCCCTGCTGATTCATCATCTCCTTCAGTCTCGCCTGCACCGGAGAGTAGGGGTTCTCTCTTTCCCGGGTGGTCCGAATCGCGGTGGTGGGTGAGCCTAGGGGACGGCCAGCTTCAGGGTTTCGGGATCTAGGGTCACCCGGGGTTGGGATTTTGGGCGGCCCAGGTTCGGGGTTTAGCGGATGAGAGCAATGTTGAGGTTTCACTTCGAAGGTGGCATCCTACAGTCTGAGACAGCCTGCAGGTGCTTCGGGCTGGTGAAGGTGACGACGAAGCGGTTCTCCCAGCTCCAGCCGAGCTTCACCACGCCCTGGCAAGCGAGGATGACCATTGCTCAACTAATACTTACCCGCCATGGGTCTTGTTGCAGCCTGCACTAGAAGAACCTGAGAGTCTAGTGGCAGCAGATAAAAATGGCAGTTGAACCACCTGTCTCAGAGCCCCATGGCTTGAAGGAATTATCCCGGAACTGGAGCAATGCATTGATTCGGTGAGTTCTGGATGCCCACTGCCCCACTGCACCTTGACAACACCGTCCTTGTTGACAGCTGACGGTGCTGGGGGGTCTCCATCCTCAACCTCGGGGCTTTCGGCTTTATGGGGAAGGCCTCGTGTGTCGGAGGAGTGGAAGAGGAGGAACCGAAGAATGCTTGTGTCGTATGCTCGAGGTTCAAGCTTGAAGTTCGCGATCTTTGGGCTCCGGTGTTCGGGTGTGGGCCTTTAGAAGTTTGTGTCACTCTGTTCGGTTCTCCGTACTGATGATATCCTCTGCTTTGTTCGGTGCCGAAGCTGCTTCTGGTAACCTCTGCACAGAGTTTGGGAGCATCACCAAAACATTCGCAGTGCTCACCTGAAACTGAGGCTCCCATGTTGGGGCACTGGCCGGGAAAGGGTTCAACCTCCGAATGTGGTGCAGAGCTCGAAGTGCGTTCTCTGCAGCCGCCTGATAGAAGAGGTGCGAAAAACTTGCTATCATGATTCAACATTTCTTTACCAATACTGTTTTGGAGGTTCCTTATTATAATAATTGTATACTATAACCCTCAACGTGCCATTCTAATTATTAAGGCCCCTATGTTGCGTCCTTTCGGTATGGTGGGTCTTGGTGGAGTGGCCGCCAGATTACCAGCTTCCGTCGTTACGATGGCGCCCGGCGGTCAGGAGCATACACCAAGTGAAGGAACAAAACTGTGACATGGAGCCATGCTCCTCAGACAGTCTCTCTCAGTGTCTCTACTGCTCATGGCTCATGCGCGGTACTTGCAAGCCTCTACTTCCCAGAGCAAACCCAGTTACAAAGCCCCGAATTAGCCCAAGCTCGAACTCCGTGTCCGGTTGCCTCCACGTTCACCTTCACAGCGCCCTGCCAAAGGCTCATATCTTAGAACTTCCTCCCGGCGGTCAGGTTATCCTGACTCGTGCACCCTGAACAAATAGTTGCCTGCAAGGTTTCTAGTCTTCTTCGCTTTGCTCCCTTTCAGCGTGGCCTCCTATGCGCCAAAGAATGACAAGTTCCGCAAAGCTGGAGTACCCCTTCGACGGCTCATCGCAAGCAATCTCAGATTGCAAAAGGCTTGCCACACGCTGCACTTGCACTTCGAGAAGCTGGTTGTGGTCAGATCAACCCTAAACGCTGTGCAGAACCACGCACCTTGCTCACCAGGGTGGCAGCTGGAAGTCGCACTCCTGGGCGACATGCTTCAATTTCTTGCCAAACCAAATTATTTGAGGATCCAGGGCTAAGGTTCGAAGCGGAGTTTAAGACATTGGGATTCTGGGTCTTGGAACGCAGTCCCGAGTCCTAACCTGAACCGAACTCTCAACCCCTCAACTGCAGCCAACTCCTGAAACCCTATAATCCCTGTAGTCCGAAGCCCTTTAGGTACAGCTCTCCTTCGTTCAGCACGCCAAGAAACCGAACCCGCGAAGCCCCAACAACCGTACAGCTCTGCCCTTGAAGCCCAAGACCTCACTATGTCACAGCAGCCTACGTGTCAGAGCTTAAGCTTTGGTAACCTCTGAAGATCGGTTTAGGGTTTAGGGTATAGGGGTGCATGTAATCTGTTGCACGCATTCCTGCACTCACGGGGCGGGGAATAGAGAACAGTATGCATGCGATCCTAGTCGTAAGACACTGTTCTCTAGCACTGAATGCACCTGGCCCGAACCCCAAACCCCGGACCGCTCCGCCAAACCCTATACCTAAAACCTCGAAAAGCCTAAAGCCCTGGTCCCAAACCCTAGAACCCGACGGCCCAATCCCTGCAAGCTTCAAACGCCCCTGCAAGGAACCCCGCCTGGATGGAGCGAGAGCGTCGCCATCCAGGATTTGGAGGTGATGAGCTCGTACCTCTGAGGGCTCAGCACGTAGCGCAATGTATGTATGTATGTACGTATGTATGTATGTATAGACGGATAGATGGAAGGAAGAAAGGAAGACGGAACGACAGATGGATGAGATAGATATTATAAAGATTGAGCACGAATCCTTCTTACACTTATCGTAGCGGCTGGATGTACTCATGATGGCAATATTTGTCGGTACAATCTGCACAGGGACTTTTCGGTTTCTTGCGTTGAAAGGTGTTGGGGTTGTGGGGTTCGGAGTTTTGGGGGCACGAATTTCCGACCCTTCTGAACGGTGTAGCCCACCATCACAATCGCTGTGCACACGTATCTCTGCTTCTTCCTACATGCGCGATAACACTAAATTTATTCACATACTCACCCGCAAACACAAGCTTATGTATGTACCTTATGTGCGTATGTAATGTGGTGAATGTAATGTAGTAACGTAACATAACGTAATGCAATGTAATGCATGTGTGTGCATCTCTGTCTTTCGGTCTGTCGGTCTCTCTGTCATCTCGTATGCATGTGTATCTACTATATGTCTGTATACATGTGTATGTGTCTGTATGACTGTATGTGTACGTATCTCTGGAACGCCCGTCTGTACATGCATTGCACGTGTGCTTGAGTACATACCTGACCTAGCACGTGTAGAAGAAACCATATTTTTTCCCCTACTTGCCCTTGGAGCCCGGCTGGTCAGCTGGATGTGGGAAAATGCTGCGGATGGCAGCTGCCTTCCGAGTCTCAGGGTGCGGAAGTAAAGAATATTTTCAATAGTGCTTCCGTACTGCGGCTGCTGTGATGGCGTACATCGTGTTTGTATAATATACAAATACATGTCGAACACAGGCATAGCTATCACCGTGATCATGGCCAGCACCGTGCTCACCATCATCATCATCATCATCATCATCATCATCCTCGTCATCGTCATGTTCAGTGGCATCTGCATCGGCAGCATCGTCGTTGTCCTCCTCCTCCTCGCTCACTGTGAGCAGATGCCGTCAACTTTTATCATACCGCCAATCGCAACAATGACACTACTCGTTGTAGCTGCACGAGACTACTGGGTAGGCATAGTGCCGGAGGGCTCCATGGCAGGGCATGCCGTTTTGCGTATGTGCACACGCGTGTTCCGCCTCCGAACTTGAACCCCGGATCGTGTAAGATCAAGTCCTTCTGAGCCCGTGCATCTTGACCCTTCATATGTCGTTGTGGCCCAAGGCACCTCGCAGGCACGCATGGCAGCGAACCTCAAAACTGTTTCCATGCGCAGGGAAGATGATTTCGAAAGTGCTTTTAAGGGGGACTGGTATGTGCCCGAAGACGGCTAGCAGAACCTGAAAGGCGCAGGTGGAGCTTAACAGCGACAGCCGGAGATGCTGCATTTGCCGAATGTGGTCCAATGCTCCTAGCTGCAAAACTTGACAGCTGGCGGGTAGCGAAACCCCGTTGTTGGGAGCGGCTTTCGGCTTCAGAGTTGAGGGTGGTTAGTTTGAGGCTTGCAGAATCTTGCGGACATCCAAAGCCCCTGGCATCGCATGACGCTCCACGTAGCAGGCGTAGTCGGGATCGCCGAAGTCCTTTCATCCACCACAGGGGGTCGTTTGGGAATGACCGCTCTTGCCAAAGATGGAAGCCAAGGCGGATGAGGGCAGTGCCTGGGTTCTGCCTCAAGGATTCTTATTACATGCAGCGGGTCAGAAGCCTGATCCTTCTTCCCATAGAAATCCCAAGACTCAGGCCCAAAGCGACAGGAAGCCTCACCCTTCCAAAATCCGCACACAACGGAGCCCCAGGGAATGCCTCCCACTCTGCAGGCCACAACATCCAGAAAGCTGCGCGGCGGGGACCTGGCAAAGGATTGTGGACCCGACACTGTGCTCATGTAAGGTGTTATAAGTTATAAGACTAGCAATGATGATGATCAAGATTATTGATGCTACCTTCATAGCGGCTACGGCTATTATATGGATTTAGGGTTTCAGGATTAAGGCTTCGAATGCCGGAAGTATGTGGACGAGGTCGAAAGGAACAACCATGGCGTTGTATATAAAGTGATGCATAAACTCAAGACTGACAGTGCTCCCGCCTTTCATCCCAGCGCGGATCATGTGAGCTTGAGGAACTATCTGGAGAGCGTCCTGCCCACAGGATTCTTCCCCCGTGCCTACCACCTCTGACACATGGGACGGCTGACAAGTTGCAAGCTCTTGTGTGGCGCTCGGGACTCAGCACTGACCGCTGGTCAGACGCCCCTCAGCAACTCCCTCGCACCCTTCCTTCGAGCTCGCAACGAGGACATGGTGCAACTCCCACTGCGGCATGCCCTGGCATGCAGGCTGGTGAGGTGTGCTCTGTCAGACTGAAGCCCGTCGAAAATAGATACGATTTGTTTCGCCAGTGTCCTGAAAGTCCGGATGCTGATGGTTACGACTACGAATATCATTACTACTATCATCCATTTATTTTGCTTATTAATAGTAGTATTCTTCATAACTTAATAAATCAACTCCTTATTGTCCTTACTACTGTGACTGTTTTGAAACCCCTTTGACTTTGCTAGGCCCTGGCACCTCGGGGCTGTGGAGAGACGGGTGCTTCTTGAAACCCTTCTCCACGACGTGACCTGGGCCCATGGCTCTCCTGGGGGGAGGTTGTTTTGGGTTTGGGCGTGCAGTATAGTGCGGTATAGTATAGTATGGTATGGTATATACTATACTATAGTATACTTTATTATATACTATACTTATACTATACTTTATACTATGCTATATACTATACCAGACTAGACTATACTATACCAGTGTTATGGGCTTGGGGAAGCTGGCAGTCTGTCGAGGGGCCCATGTATTCGTCGCTCGGTGGAGAGCCATACTTGCCCCAGTCCCCGTCGTTCGCCTGAGATGTGGTCAAGTCTCGTGCTATGGAGTTTAGGTTTGGGTGTTATCAGGCAAATGGGCTTACTTGACAGCGGTCAGAAACGCAATGACCAGGCTTTCCCCCCGGCCCCTTCCACTAGCTTTTGACGAGGCCTCCTGCTCGTCCATCCACTTGGAGTACCTCAGAAAAAACAAGGCCACTGGCAAGGCCTGCTCCCGGCCTGAGCCTGACATCCAACATATCTGAATCCACCCCAGAGCCTGTTGTGTGATGAGATTTGTGAAGCAACGTGCAAACTTCTGATGCATCGAATCTGCAATGAGGTTCTGCCTTGCCTTCCTCAGCAACCGCAATACGTGCAGGCTATATACAACCTGCATCTGATACCTTGACAGGTAAGTTCCGTGGTTCAGTTGAGATACTTGGGCTTTGGGTGCGCTGTGCACCCGCGAACCTTTCCTGATGTATTGAACCTGACTGCAAAACCCTCCGAAAAAGCCCTTCCATTCGTTCACCCTAAAACTGAAATTCGAACTCCCGACCAACAAGAAACGTAGATGCCTGCTAATTTGAACCCGAAGCAAACCAAAATCCTAAGCTTCCGCTTGCGAAATCGCAAGAAGTCCCTCCCAAATCCACAAGCAACACGACACTCCGGAGCCCGAAACTTCGAGCCCAAAGGCTCGCCACCCCATCGGACGAAAAGCAGCGACAACTTGCACCTGGGCAGGCTCAAGCCAAGTTATAGCCCAGTGGCTCATGGGGGCTACAGTAGGGACCCTAAACCCTAAACAGGCGCGTGCGGCTGTTTGGGGTGGAGAAACTTCAGCTACCAGCACTCTGTCTGTGCCCAGGTCAGCGAGAAAAAAACCGGGGTGGGAGCCACGATCATACGGGGAATCGCCAGGCCCGAACGAGGCAAAACCGCGACCGTGTTTGTTTTACACAGGACAGCATCGATAAGCAATATCTCGAATTGGTGCATAAGCAGTGATGCATGCCGTCCCATGTCACGGCATTGGACGGAGAGCTACAGGTTCGCACTTGCACCAGAGCTGCTTCTCCCAGTCATTCTGTAGACCTGCGAATAATGTTTAGTTCTTGTAGCCATGTATGTGTAAATAGAAGAGGCATGTCTCTGCAGGCTGCAACAGATATCCGAATAGACAGGCAACTAAATAGCTGGATAGATAGATAGATAGATAGATAGATAGATAGATAGGTATGTCGGTAGGCAGCTAGGCAGCCAGACAGATTCCTGCCCAGGAAACTCAATTATGGATCGGATTGACGATGGTTCTTGGCGGTCTCAACCCGAGCTTGGAGTTCCGGGCTAAGCAAAGCACCCGAACACGTTTGTCCACTACGCTTGTGTGCGAAGCCAGGCTCTGGCTGAAACCTCTGGGCAGTGATCACTGTACTGTCAATCAGGCGCTGCAGAGCAGAGAAGCGGTGAGGTATTATTCTGGACTGACCTTTCGAGCCCTTGGTCTGATTCCTGTCCTGGGTCGCAGGCGGCGGCGTTTTCGCATCGCAGACCCAGCGGACCTTGCCACAGGAAAGGAACATATATGTTGTCCATGCAATATACATACACACCTAAGTTGCCAGGTTTTCCTGCCCGTTCGCATGTGCAAGACCAAAATCTATTGCCATGAAGCGCCGTCATCACGATCTAAACACAGCCACACTAACAACAGCTTCTGAAGCTACGAGTAACTCCGGTATAGCTTCCAAGGTGTCTCGACTGGATTCATTACAGCCCCCTACCAGCCACAGGTGGCTGGCTGACAACCCCGAAAAAAGTAGATCACCTCTGACCCGAATTCTATTTGCATGTTACTGTAGGGTTTAGGGCCGGGTTGCTGGCACCCACAGCAAGAGGTGCAGTCGACTCTGCGAGGGCCGGGCCCTCTGGGGCATCGTCGCCGAAGGAACAGGGGTTCCCTGCCGAAGGCAGGTGAGGCCCAGCGCGCGAATAATAATGATCATCATTTTAACAATGATAAAGAATAACACTAACACTGCAAATAAGACCAGTCGTAGTAACAGCCGTCATAATAACAGTAATCACGACAATACTTATAATCCCAACAAGAATAAGACTAACAACATTGACAAGCAAGCACAATATCAAGCAGAATTACAGTCATCATCTATTATTGCGATCATTAAAAACATCCTATTAGACAAACCAAGCAATATGAACAGGGCTCCGGGATACTGCGGCCGCGATTCCACAACGATCACGCAGGACTATTCTTCATAAACTCTTTTCGATGCTTACATCAGGGCAGTGCAAGTTCAGGGGTTGAGGCAACTACATACAGCTTGTGGAACACATGCCACGAACAACACTTTCTTGTGGTTGGCATGTCTATGGCAGGGCTATCGCATCTTGAGCTGTTGCAGGTGCGAGCAGCTCAAGCTCCGTGGTTCCTGCAAGACTATGCCTTGCGCGTGACGAAGTTGTACTCGCCCTTAGGAAGCACGAGGGGCCACGTCTCCTGGCAGCATTGAAGTGGTGACGCAGGCTAGACACAGATTCAAATGGCACGCGAAAACATCTTCACCCAACATCAAGATGAGGCCGTGCTGTTTACCAAGTTGACTCGCGCCTTCTGATCAGAATTTACTTTGGCGGGGTCCACGGCTTGCTCCAGGGTCCCGTACCTGGACTTGAGGCTTCGATTACTTGGCTCTGTCTCGGCGCTACCGCGAGAAGAAAAAGCAAAGCCAACGCAAATGCTGCAAGGATTGCTTCGAGCTGGTTGGGGATGATCGCTCTGCAACAAGTCAATGACCCTGCCGGGGATACTCGAGATAGCTCTTCACATGTATCATATCTCATTTTCTGTCATCAATCGTCAAACCTTCCCCAATCGCTCCACTCCACGAGGCGACTTGCTTGATGGGTGTTTTCGGGGCAGGCTTGCGTTTACGGGTAAGGCGTTTCTGCACAGTTCCAGAGGTAGCGGGTTCGGGATCTGAGAAGGTTGTGGTGGGCTGAAGCTGAGGCTTCGACAGCCAAGTGTGAGAGGCAACGAACATGAGGCCTCCTGAAACAACGATGGATGCTCTGCACAATTCAGCGCACGAAGGATTCAGTCGATGTTCGCCATGCAGACATCCTGCATGCCCAGCTTTGCAGGCTTACTCCTTAATCTGCGATCTGCTGGACAACCCGGGCCCAACGAAGCCTTGAAGCGCACTGGAAGACACCGTTACAAAATGAAAGGCTACGCAGAAGCCATCCTGAATTGCAGACCTGCACCAAAGATCGCTAAAGCAGCTGCAGTCGTTGAAGCAGTGAGGATTAGAAGACCCGCAGCCGACAGACTCGGGGATAGGGTTCTTTCTGGGTGCCTGCCTCCCTGCTGCTTCCCATTGCCCTTGCTACGCGAGGGCCCGCAGAAAAGCAGCGGCGCCTGTCTCACCACGCAATGCTGCAATCTACAATCAACTTCAAGTCAGTTTTGCACAATTGTGAATTGTGAGGCTCAAACTCATCGCATCGATAGAGCGACTGGGTTGAAGCTTTCATGGCAGAGCTGCACACTCTACGTGCCGGGGTCTGCCACCACTACCACCACCGCCCATTCTTGGCCTCCCACTCCCACCTGCCAGGCCGGCACCGACAGCACCAGCACCAGCAAATCACCCGCCACCAGTCTTAAGTGTTACGAATTGCATCCCGGCATAAGTGGGGAGTGTTGGGTTCACCTGTATCCCTCACTGCAAGTTCCCATGCATCAGAAGGAAGCCTAACAGGGCAGGTGTCGCTCAATGTGTCATGACAACTGTTTCCTGCAGCGGAGCTCCCCAAGAAACAAACTGCGAGATCAAGCCCGATCAGTCTAAAGAAACGGCCTTCGGGTCGCCAGCATCGGACTCAAAGTAGAACAGGACCTCGCCCCGGCGCAGAATAATTACGGCCCCGAGTTAGAAGCTCTCTTCGCGAACGTCCTCGAAGAAACAGACTGGCGCTAATAGAAACATTGCGAATTTAGTGGAGACCCTGCCTAACTACATGGAACAAGCTCCTGGCCGCGATGTCTTTCTTGAGGCCGGAGCCTGCTGTCCCTTCTGCATGGGTCCCGCTGCTGGTGGCGCACTGGGCGACTCCGAGTGCCTGAAACTTTGCTTCGGGTTTCAGAATCAGAGGCAAAGGACTCGAAGGGTTCTGTTCCATTGCTAGGGCTCAAGGAGAAACCGCAACCGAACCCACCAACGTCAATAAAGCTTGTCTTCCAGTGTTCGGCCCAATACGCTGGTCCCGCGCTGGTAACGCCGAGCCACGGCCGTTTTGTCCCGTTGGACACGCCCTCGGGCATCGCCCAGCTACGGTCTGATGCCGAAGAAGCGAGGCTCTAGACTGAGATGCTTGGGGATTGTTGGCATTGGCCACGAAGGATCTGTCCGTTCGTGTGACGCTGCTCTGAGATATTCCATGTAGTGTCGAATGAAGTGCTCGTGATATACTACGAACCCCTTTTGCCTCGAATATTGGGTGATAGGCGGGAGCTCCTGCTACGCTAGTCCATCCTGGGCTGCCCTGGTTGCAAGTTGCAAGTGCAGCAATTGCTGACGTGTCAAGCGTTTGAGCCAGCGAAGGCACGGCGGGCTAGTCGCTTCGTCTCGCCACAACGTGCCTGCACTAACCGTGCTCAAGCCTATGCAAGTCAATCTAGAAACTAAATGGGGGTTTCCGGAAATTAGGGTACCTTATTTTGGGGTCTTTATAGTAAGGATCCTACTATTCTTGTACTATATTAGGGTCCCCTATCTTCGGAAACCCCCAAATCGCAGGATGCAGGGTTTGCCAGTGGGGGCCTTTCCCTTTCTACTGATTCTCATGTTCATTTGCTGATGCCGGCATAGCCTGCTCCGTCTCTCTGCAGCTTCTCAATACATCCAGGCCACCATCCAAGACTTCAACAAACAGGATCGGGTTCAGTTGCACTTCCTCCGCTGTCGCTTGAAGCTCATAGACCATGATCGCGCAAAAGCTTGGAGCATCCGTCTCAGGGGCGATCAGTCTGTGCAGGTCGTTCGAAACGGTGAACGATGCGTTTCCGGTTTGAGTTGAGATGAGGAGGACAGTTGCCCTTGAAACGCATCAGTGCCCCTGGCGAAAGCCCAGCCTCACCTCAGTCGCTTGGGGCCGGTGGCTCAGCAACGATGCCCGGAGAGGGAGGTACCTCCGAGTGCCTCAGAGCTTTGTCCGATGTCTCCAGGTCCTCGTCCGAGGAAGTCCGGAACAAGAGATCTTGAATAGACTGTCGAAGGGTGGCAAAGTACCGACTCCAGAAGGCGTCTTCTGTGAGGCGTCGAGGAACCAGGCGAAAGCGCACAAACCTCAACTCAGGGTTCCAGTCCAGGAGAGCCCCGGCCCACTCGGCAAAGTTTGTGTTATCGTCCATGCTGAAGCCGGAGTCCTGGGGCAGCTCGTTTGGACAAGCTTCCAGGAAGGCGTCTTCAGTTTTCGTCAGACCCCGTGCGGCTTCCTGTACGCCCGGTATGTCATAGCGGAAGACGCGGTTGGAGGTTGCACTCTCGGCGCTCCACTGGATCAAATGAAACCACGGAAAGACATCATCTTGATAGAGATCGTCTGGATCTGAGCGATTGGCCGCGGCAGCACCCATTGCATCGGCATGAAATGTTACCTTCAACACCTACTGCCTCGTTTCCCTGCATGTCTCCCCGAGGTCAGTTGTGGTGTGCCCTGTGGCTCTGAAGGCATGGTACAATCTGTGCTGCTGGTCAAGGCTGGATGTGCCCATGAACAGGATTCTACTGGCTCAGCAGCCACTGCTGGGAGGCAGGGAACTCAGGCTTCTGAGGCGTCCGCCCTGAAGCAGAAGGATTCGGGTTCTGAGTTTCTTACCAACCACAACAACCAAGATGATAAGTGCGCGAAGGAATCAAGGAGTGAACGAAGGAAGGTGTGAATATAATATTGAGTGAACTGGTGCATGAGACATGATTGACCCACATGAAGGCGATGGTGGCGGCGATGGCACCGCTGCGACTCAAACAGCACCAGCCGAAACTCTGAGCTCTGTCTCAACACCCGAAATGCTGCACCAGCTCGCCCAAACCCATACAGAACAGAAACGACGACATCCTAAAGCCCCAAACTGGTCAACTCTAAAGGCCGTATGCAAAGCCCCAAATGTTCGTGCCCTGCGACCACGGCAAGCCTCCACTCTCCAGGCCGGCACGGGATGCATCTTCCCGGCTGCCCCTCGGCAGTCCTTCTGCGCAATGTTGAAGATCATGATTTAAAGCCAAGCAGTAGTAGTAGTCGGAGAAGGAGTGGGGGTAAGAGGAGGAGTAGTAGGAGTAGTCGGAGTAGTACTAGTAGTCGTAGTAGTGGTCGTAGAAGTAGCAAGAGTAGCAGTAGCAGTGGCAATAGCAGTGGCCGTTGCAGTACCAGCAGCAGGAGTAACAGTTCTAATATTCTACTATTACTACTAAATTATTACTATCAATATTATTATTAGTAGTAGTATAGGTAGCCGTAGTCGTCGTAGTAGTCGTGGGGGTCGTGGTGGTAGTGGTAGTGTGGTGGCCGCGGTGGTGGTACCGGCAGTAGCAGTAGAAGTAGTCGTCGTTGTAGTCGTGCTGGTAGTGGCGGCAGTGGCGCTTCATGAAAAACAATCAATCGTCCGTCTTCTAGAGGGCGTAAAGCCATCATGACCAGCCAAACTGTCGGTTCGAATTAGGAAAGGACTAGGCTTCATTTTTCAAGATTCAGTTACTACAGACTACAGCCAAAAAGCTTTCGGCTTCGGGTCTGATGGGTCTGCAGGCCCCTGGCCCCCTGACCGTCATACTCACCTCCCACTGCGCTTGCGGCTTCGGGCCATAGTGTACCAGTGTACCGCTAAGTCCCCAACCTGTTTAGAGTACAGAGCTTAAAGCCCATGGTGATCGCAAGGTTCGGGGGGCCACGACGTTGGCTAGAGCATCATGACGGCTTCTGGCTTCAAAACAACGCTTGAATTATCGTAGCATTCTTTCATAAGGACCCGCTGTGCAACAGCAGCTTTGCAGTCAAAACATGAACCGATATGTCCTACTCTGCTTGTGTCAAGTTGTCAAGCTGCACGCACTGCAGCACAGTTTGACGGGCAGCGTCTTCGTTGTTGACCAACTGAAATCCGCATTATCGGTAACACGATGACAATCGCAAGACCAAGATTACGACTACGAAAACATCGTTGCACCCCAACCGCCCGGAAACGCGCAAAGAAACTCCCTCATCCCCCCAACAGAAGCCAGACCGGGCACCCCGCCCTTCGGACCGTGGGAGTGCAGGCTCCGTGTTTAGGGTATAGCGTTCAGGGTTTAGTTAACGGTTTGGGAGTGCAAAGTGTGTGGATGGTGTACAGTTTGAGGAAAGGCTCAGAGGCTCAAGGAAAGAATTGAAGGCTCGAGGCAGCGTTGAGCTGTTTCTGGGTGCGCTGCGACTCAAGTCACCCGTGACTTCGCCAGCTGTTCTCAGCTCTATGCTCTTTCTACGAGGGCAGCTCTGTAGAAGCTAGCTGCTGCATGCTGACCTGTATGCTCAAGTCCATCTGAAAGCTGAAGGACACATGCTCGGGCAATCACAGCATGTGTAGGTGGCACGTCAGCCACCAGGCAGACAGGGGAGATCCGGGGGCATTCCAAGCAATCAGTGACACTGGTCTCAGTCGTGCCGACAAACACTCCTGTCTGCCGTATGCTACATACTAAGAGGACGATCTGAGACTGCAGTCTTGCACAATGCGTCCCAGTCGGCTTGCAGACCCAAGCACAGGCCTAGCATCAGATCTTTTTCTGCGAGCTCCAATGCATGCAAGGCAACCGCACAGTGGAACAACTGCAATCAAGTCAATCCAGCAACCAATTGCAGCGGGAAGAGGCGCTGCAGCTGGAATGTTGGCAAAAGCGGATGAAACACTGCGCAGAGGTGCACGGGAACAGTTCCCTTTGATTCAACCTTCGAGCTTTGGACAGCTCATCGAAATTACATGCATGTGTGTTTCTGGTGCTCGTGTGGCTGCTGAAACCTCGGTTCAGCACCGCAAAGTGGCTGAGCCTCAGGATAAGCACGTGGAAGAAGCCGACGAGCCAGCAGGCTCATCTTCCTGGCCTTCTTCTCCGTACGCTTCGGCATGATTTTTTTTGCATCTACTGTCTCGCGTCACTGCGCTCAGTCAGCACAGCACGACATAGCACCACGGACCGCCGACATCAAGATACCCAGCTGTGGCTGGATCAAGCTGCAAAAGCACAGCGAGCCCGTGCTGCACCAGGAGGCGTTCGATGTACGCAAGCCAGCACAGGCATCCGCGACGACGCAGGCGATCAACAGTGTCCTGCAGCGGCTGCGTCTAGTTCGCGGGGGCTTTGCCAGTAACCTCATGGGATTTGCATCATCAGGACGATGACCTACTAGCACGATCACTTCGAGAACTTCTTCTGCTGCTTCCTCTACTTCTGCGACGTGCGACTACATATCGAGCCTGCGAATGCCAACAACTCCATCTCCTAACAAAGTGCACAATTAAGGAGATGAGCGGGGAGACTGTACTGGAGAGTAGCATCGATTGCAGCCTCACAAGATCAGAACTTCACTTG